TATCTCTAAAAAAAAAAAAAAAAAAAAAAAAAAAAGCAGGGACCAGAAGATGGCTAATATGTCACTGGATTCCCACATAGTCAATAACAGTTCTAGTTCCAGATCAGTAGCTTAAAACTCATGCTGGGCACATGTATGTGCATGCCCAAAATTCCCCAGAGGAGAATGGGAAGAAGGGACCGCAGCATGTCCATCTCCCCTGAGCATGATTTCTTGCTTTCTGTCTCTCTTTCTCTCTCTGCCTCTCCAGCGAGCGCACATGCCCTATAGTAAAAATCTCTCAAAAAAACCCCAATACTCTAGTTAGTTTACTATGTTTAAGTGCTATTCCATTACTTAAAACACTTATATCTAGTTCCCAGAAAAGCATAAAGAATGTTTTATTGATTGCTCTGATTTGATGTATAGCACTATCCAATGTTCTGGGGAGTCAAAAGGAATGTGGCCAACATTGTCAAATGCCCTAAGGAATGCATAATAAAAAGGGGAGATGAAGCACAGATAAGTGATACTGACTCTTAAATAATGAGTTACTTGTAAAGGATAAAATCGCTACTGAGAAATGTTAGTGAAGGAAGTGTTTTCAGGGTACTTCCTTTGTCACTCTCTATTTTGGTTTGCATTTATTCGTTTTGTTTTGTTTTTAAAAATTGCTTTTTAGGGACCAGCAGTTAGTGTAATGGCTATGTCGCTGGACTCCCATGTAGTCGACCGCGGTTCGCGTCCCAGACCTGGTGGCTTAAACTCACGCCGGACGCATGTGCTTGCGACTTTGGGTACGGCTTGTTCTTACAATATCGGTAACACCAGGCAGGGCGGCGGCCCATGGCTGACACCAAGATCTTCGGTGGCGCGCTGGAGGCAAAGAGCCCTGATGTGAGTTTTAAGCCACTGGGTCTGAAACTGGAACTACGGTTGACTATTTTAACCACTACGCCATCTGCTGGCCTCTTGGCCATGTCTTTTAAATGTTGGGCAGGCAGGTAGTATGGTGGTTAAAGTGCTAGACTCCCACATGGCGGACCATGGTTTGAGTCTCGGGCCTGGCGGCTTGCTTTCTCACTTTTCTTTCTCTGTCTTTCTCACTCTATCTGGTCAAATTAAAGAAAAGACAAGAACATTCTCAGATAAACAAAACCTGAAAGAATTTACCAGCACCAGACCAGCTCTCCAAGCAGTTCTCAAGGGTGTGCTATGTCAGGAAAATTAAATACAGATACACGGAAATAATAGTTCAAAAACTAAGAAAGCGGCCAGCTTAATCATAGGGACAAGTCTGGAGTTGGATATTATATCCCAGAATTTAATAGGAAAAATGGAACCAGAACAGAAGATAAAGTACATGAGACTGATAGGTTCATGCACCTAACATTTGAACAGAATCCTAAACTGTGTCCTGGCTTTAAGCAAAGTTCCTTGGCATTTCTTTGATTTAAGTTAAAACTGGTTTTCTTAGTAGTAGTGAG